AAACAAGAATAAAGCCATGACAGATACTGCCATTCTAAATTGTTTATTCTTTCGAGATAATGTTATACATAACACAAGAAAATAGTTTTGCTATTTTTTTAATGGTTCCCTTCAAAATACTCTCCTTTGACAGACACATAATTTCATCCGTTTTATCCAAGCTTTAAATCCATTCATATAATGTTTCTTGGACTTATTTTAGCACATGATTTTTATATACGTTGTCCGGTGATTAATCGGCCTTTTGCAATAGCAACCTGAACAAAAGGACCTTCATTATTCAAGAAAATTGCATATAATAATTTCTCAGTACTTTGACATCGTTTTGCGTTAACAGGGCGTTTTGCCTTTTTTTGTCAACCACATCATGTCATCAATTTTCTTTGAGGAGCTGATCCTTACGTTGCGGGCTCGAATCTCACTGTGGGTCGTGGAGACCGGTCCTTCGGATGAGACCGTATAAACCGAGGTCCCGTGTCGTAGTAGGTACTGCCACGAAAAAGATCCCTCACTGCTCAATGGCCCTAAGTGCCGAGAATAGGTTAAAATTTGCAGCTCTCCACCGGCCACGACAACTAAAATGAACATTTGACGAGTCTGAAATTCCAAATTCCTTTGTTTCGTAAAAATATGAATTTTTGTCTCCAAGGTATTCATAATATATTCTGAAGTAATCGAAGAAAAAATATTTTTAGTGAACATTTAATGCTTAGTTACTCTGGATCTTTAGAGAATGGGAAATTGTTGTAAAGTTTGAAAGATATTTTGTGAGAAAGTTTACTGTAGAGTATTATTATTGATTCAATCTAAACAAAATTAGATGTTAGATCCGCTCGCATACTCGTTAGTACACTAGTAGCGAGTATCCAACATCTTATTTTAACAGCTAATAGTTTTTCATTATAATAAATTGTCACATCATAGGTTTTATTTACACTGCATATTTTGGTGTTAAACCATGATTTGAATTTTACAACCCTGGCCTCTCGACAAGGGGTCCGAGTCCAGGGGTAACAGAGACTAAAAGCCTAACCATGGTTTGTCTATATACATGTACATAGGCGTCGGAAGCAAATTGAAAGTGGAGGGGGGGGCTAATTGAAATAGAAAAAAAAATCAAACCTGAAAAAAAACTTGATAACAAAAAAAAAAAAAAAAAAAAAAAAAAAAAAAAAAAAGGAAAATTGAAAATTGACCACACCCGGAAATCTTATTTTGGAAAGGGGGGGGGTGTCGAACTTCTTTCAGTACCAATTCTTTGTAAAAAAAAAAAGTGGGGGGTTAAGTTAGCCCCCCCCCCAGCCCCCTTCCGACGCCTATGATATATGGTGCGTAATATCTGTTACATTCAAATGTAGTTATAAGTCTGAGTTTTGAAGGCTTAATATTATCGCAGATCTATGCGTAAATATAGTCTTTTGATTTTTCATCCCTGTTGTTCATTTTAGTGGTACTGGTGCACTCGGATAGTCCATCTGCAAGCATCTGTTGAACCATAGTAAACCTGGTCAGAGTCCACATCGAAAAATAACAAAGCTCCAGGCACAAATGTAAGCTAAATTTTTCTTAATCTTTAAAAAAAAAATACAATGAAATTCTATTAAGTGGTTAAAAGTAACCGAATCGCATTTGATATAATTACTTGTAACGATATTTAATGCATAGAACATGAGTATGCATGTTTTAACATTGAATACTTTCCATATGCCATGCAACATATTTGGAAATTGCTGCTAAAATCATGTCTTAAAGAAGGTTTGAAGAAAATTCTCGCATATTAGATTTCTTCTTGTTTAGAAAAAGGTGTTCAACCAAAAAAAACAAAGTTTTATTTTTTAAATTATCCGGTAATTATTGAAGAATAATTTTTTTACTAAAGGGATGTTTCAAAAATGAAAAAGTGCTTCGGTGCTAGAAAATTAGCTTTTTTGTAAAGATTATATTGATATAGTAATGTCTGGGGGTTTTTTAAGTGTAAGAATACATAAGTTCACCAAGAAGCAATTCAAGATATACAGGTAAATATGTTGAATTTCATTCGTAAAAGGAAGTGATTTTTTCTTTGTCCGACATACTGTATTTCTCCTTTTTTGACTTTATTTCCATTTTTTCTTTCCATCCTTTTATTAAAACTAGTCTACATATTTTTGACCATACAATTAAGCAAATATTGTTGTATGACAGCAACATATATTTGGGGTATATGTTTAACCCTCATTTGTCACGATTCATGAATGGTATTTCACTTGATAATGTGTTAACTATATTTTTTAGAAAATGCTGACAAAGAGCATTTTGAAGTTTTGCAAGTTCATATTGGTTGTTCATACCAAAGCGCGAAGTAAAAGTTTGCAGTAGTGCATGGAATATACTATATTTATATATTAATAAAATCAATGTTATCATCTTGAGTTTTTTTCTTGACATAGATAAGAAAATACAGGGTGACATTTCTCTTTGATATTTTTGTTAAATCCAAAGCCTAAGACTCATGGTTCTTTTGTACAAATAAAAGGATAATGTAATTTTCTTCTAGAGTGTCCTTTTTACAATGAAAAAAAATTCAAACTTCTACGTGTAAATAAAAAACCGAAACATACCAATGTAAATAAATTTTAAAGTACAACTTGCACTTCACGTGAATTAAGAAATGAATGTAATATTTTTTCTTTGACCGTAGTATCAAACAGAAATTTTGACGGAAAACGTCATCAATGCGCCTAGCGCATTGATGAAAAAGTTTTCCGTCCAATAAAAAATATAATATTCATTTCTTATCATTTAATTATGATTTAAAAATAATAAAATGAAACTTTCTTTCACTTGAATATTTAATTTAAGCATCAAATACAGTGCGTAGGAATACATCACAACAACGTTGCTGAAATTTAAAATGGCTGAATGTAAAGATCTACGCGCAATGGATTGATGAAGTTTTACGTCCAAGCTTTCTATGATACATCGATCAAAGAAAAAACTATAAGATTTATTTCTTATCATTTAATATTTTATCTTTCAATGATGAGATTTAACTTGAGAACGAATGACTGTCCATTGGGCAGTGTCCAACATATAAGCCTAGCTTAGTTGCCTAAATTTTCAGACGCAGAGTATAACGAACAAACCATGTTTTCAAATATTGTCTTGTCATTACTAGCTTTTTCTAACAATAACAGTTTTAACACAGAAACTTACCTGTTGTATTATTAATTTTTGCTATATTATCCCAAAAGGTTATATTCCTCCGGTAAGCTGATATCTTTAGATTCGTAAATGTAAAGGGAGGCTACTCAAATATAACCTTAACAACTCTTTCTAGGTCACAGAAATTTGGGATTTCATATGCGCATCTCTTCATCTGAATTTCAAATCGAACATATATATACGAATCACAACATGCCCATGCATAACACAACATGCCCAAAGATCTGGAAGAGTCTGTTGCCGACTGTTTAACTTTGAAAGAATTCCGTCCTCGCTCTGTCGTTTTTCTCATGCATTCTTTTCCTCAGAATTAACAGATTAACGGCATTTCTTCACAGTTCCAATGTTCATACCAGTTATCTCAAAGACAAACATATAACATACGTATGATGATTTCTTTCCTTCTTTCCCGCAACTGCATTGTTGACATTGCAGACGATCTTACTTTTTTAGCAAAGGGGGATAATTCGAAAAGAAAAGAAACATGCGAAAGTAGAAAATAACCCAGGAACGTAACGGACAAGTTTTGAAATTCAGGAAAATAGTGTAAAAGTATTTCATTTTTCTTTCACAAAGTAATCTGAAAGCGGGAAATATACATGTTAAGTCAGGCAAAGTAGTTCGGACTGCTAAGTGCAAGTGAACTCCAGATTCTATATTGACTCGATGCAGTTACCAAAAAAAAAAAAAAAAATTATCCAATCAGAATCAATTATTTTATAGAAATTTAATGATAGTCTTTTCTGGTGAAATTTGATTACTACGACGTACAACCTGTAACAGCTGTATCCATATATATTTTATACAATGTAGAGCCTTATGTATCATATATAGACGAACTTCACAAAGGTTCAATGATAAGATGAAATTAAATTGCGAATTTTGAACAGAACTGGTTACCGTAGAACATGTGTCAATTTGACTTGGAGATAAGAAATATATGGACTTTTCGAAATTAACCTCTGCGTGTCAAGAAAATCGTAAGTTTACAATCACAGCCTACTGAATAATATTTATATCTGATCGATATTTGTCACAGAATGTGCAATCTACAATGCATCCCCGTTGAAAATACCGACGATGCACAGGGATTAATGTGCAGAAAATGTTAAGCCTTGGTGTTCACGTACCATGATTTAATAACCTTTTGTTTACTTAGCTTTTTTTTTCTTGACAGCTTTCTACAGCAAAATATTAAACATTCCATGGGAATTACTCAGTAATAAAACAGAGTTAATCCCATTAGGTTTACATGCACCTTGACCATGACAAGGCATATTACGGAAATCAATGCTGTTTATCGGACGTCGATCTTTAAGATTTCCCTTTTCATCTTGTGTACTTAGACGAATTTCTAATAAATCAATAATTAGTAAACGATCAACACAATTAAGCATACATTATAATAAAGTATATTAGGCCTAGTTACTTTATTATGTCGTTTGGTAATACGCAAGTGCGTGCGTGGAGAAAATTAATACAGATTTCTAAAGACAAATGTTGCTAAATGTTAAAGGGCTACTAAAGTAAAAATGTACGGCGATCTATTATGTACAATACTCATTAATTCTACCGGATTTGGAATAGGCAGCCTCAGAATTTTCCGAATTTTTAACACCCATTCTCAGTTAGGGAGCTCTCAAACACTGATGAAAATAATTATTTTTGTACTTAGAAAAAAATTGTTACAGTACTGAGTTAATTAATTAATCCAGGCCATTTTCATCATTAGACCTGTACGACGTGTCATTATTTCCCATGAGAAATTTTCAGAGATATGATTCTTCACAGATCTTGTTTAAGTCATGAAGTACAAGAGTACTCGTGGTGACGTCACAAACCGAACATTTGAGGAGGCTTTGTATACAGGTTATGCAGAAGACGGCGGCATCCTTCTTCCAGAAACAATTCCAAAAATCGATGTAAAGGTTTTGAAATCTTGGACCAACCTTTCGTATGTACAGTTGGCGAAGAAAATAATCCCTCTCTATGTAAGCGAAGATGAAATTCCTTCGCCCATGCTAAATGGTAAGATTTTACAATTAGAAGTTCAAATTGCTGATTATCCCCTCTCGCAACGAGATTGGAGGGGGTATAGTAACGCGCATATGTGTGTGTGTGTGGGTGAGTGAGTAATCGAATGCGTGCGTAACGGAAGTAATCAATTATATTATTGATATCAATTATACTATCGATATGCTCTTTTGCGAGGGGATGCTCTGCTTTGCGGTGCCTTTATTTGATTAATATTTTTCAAAACGCACATTAATCTTTTATGTTACACTTTTTTGATAAAATGAAATACTTATTTAAAACATTCAATTATAACTATATTTTTACTATATGGCATCACATTTGGTTTAAAACTGTTCTTATCCCTCTCAGACCTTCTTGACAGTGCATTTTCTCGGTTTTCTGCACCGGAAATCACACCAATAAAACGACTTCCCGGAGGTTTGAATGTTATGGAGCTTTTTCATGGACCAACATGGGCATTCAAGGATCTGGCTTTGTCCTGTGTTGGCAAATTTCTCCAATACTTTTTATCCAAAAGAAAGAAACATCTTAATATTCTCGTGGGTATGAGGACATAATAAACTGCCTACATGCATCTATACTCCATCTTTACACAATAAATTAATAAATTAATAATTAATTTTTCTACAAAATTAAAAGAATTCACAGTAATTCCTGCCACTGATCTCTCTATAGTTTGAAGCTATCTGTTTGAAATGATAACAGAGCTACATTTATCATCTTAAATGCAGCCAATCATACATTAAGTCCAAAATAGTTTTTGTAATTTTTTTTCTTTTTACAGTTTCGTCTGTAAGAGTTATACTAGACATAAGCATATGTACCAAAATATGTTATTTATCCAGGTACATCTGGAGATACCGGAAGCGCAGCCATTGAATCCGTTAGAGGTCAGCCATGGATTGACATTGTGGTGCTTCTTCCTAGAGGGCGCTGTTCTCAGATTCAGGAACTCCAAATGACCACAGTCTTGGACAACAACGTGCATGTCTATAGAGGTATTCCTGCTTTTATTCTTAAATAATTAGTGATTCCTAATTAAATATGTACTATAGAAATGGAAATCCTCAAGTTGAAATCCTCAGGTTGCACTTAGTCGCCCGCGTGACGCAGTGGTTAGAACGCTCTAGAGTCGCGAAGTAAGGAGTTGATCCTTACGTCGCACTTATGAACGACAAAATACTCTTTGAACGACAAAATACTCTGCTTCATCTACAGATAAACCTCAGACGAATTACCGAGGATGTAGACACTATAATAGTATATTTGATTCTTGAAGAAATAGTTTGCATTATTTTACACTTTCCATGGTCAATGTATGGCATGTCAAACGTTGCAATATTCGATCTTTTCCATTTGTGTTGTATAATTTTCCATTTGTATTGTATAATTTTTATTTGTATTGTATAATTTTCTATTTGTATTGTATAATTTTTCATTTGTATTGTATAATTTTTATTTGTATTCTATAATTTTCTATGTGTATTGTATAATTTTCATTTGTATTGTATAATTTTTATTTGTATTGTATAATTTTCCATTTGCATTGTATAATTTCTTATTTGTATTGTAAAATTTCTTATTTGTATGCGATAATTTTTCATTTGTATTGTATCCGCGGACTGTTTATTTGTTTCGTTACGAAGGATTTCATTGGTCAAGTTTCAGCCTGTATCGGGTTGAAGATGTTCCGGATGCTCAAAGCAAACTGGGCTCATATGTATTTGCTTGCTTGATTGATTGATTATTGTTTAACGCCGAGTCGGCAATATTTCAGCCATATTTCGGCGATATATGTATTTGCGTGCATGTTAGACGGTCATTGTATTCTAAAAAAGGAGCGCTGGTAGATGACAAATAAATAATCTGTCCTTAGAAATGCTGACTGAGAAAATAAATAAATTGACCTTGAGTGGTGGTACCTACCCCCACCCCCAAAAAACTGAGTTTTCGGGTTTGGGCGGATTTTCTTCTTTTTGTTTTTCTCCTTGTCTCTGGTCATATTGGAAATAAATATTCTCTCCTGCGAGAGAATGAAAATAAATAATCGGATTCGACACCCCCCGAGAATCAAATGGTCGTCCCTTAGCATGCACTGCAAATAGAGGAGCCGAGTTTGTGTTTGTAGAGAGTGCGCGATCGGAATTGTGGGAAGGGTACCAGACTAAGTTTGTGATGGGCACCTGAGACCTTTATACAGACTAAATTTTATGACCAATGACATCCTTCGTAACGAAATAAATAAACAATCCTCGGATACAATACAAATGAAAAATTATCGCATACAAATAAGAAATTATACAATACAAATCAGAAATTATACAATGCAAATGGAAAATTATACAATACAAATAAAAATTATACAATACAAATTATTTTTTTTTACAACACAAATGGAAAATATAGAATACAAATAAACATTATACAATCCAAATGGAAAATTATAAAATCCAAATGGAAAATTATACAACACAAATGAAAAATTATACAATACAAATAAAAATTATACAATACAAATGGAAAGTTATACAATACAAATGGAAAAGATCAAATATTGCAACGTTTGACATGCCATATCAATGTATGGTAAATGTATTATTCATAATCTGTCACGTTTGTGAATATGCGACCGGGTAGTTTCAACATTCTTAGCAAACCCAGTTTTTCAAGGAAAATATGATTGTATCGTCTGAAAAAGAAACATCACAGATATAATGAAAACTTAGTGTGAAGTAAACTTTTTTTTATCGGTCCTACTAACTAAATAAAACTTATATTTGTAGTTGATGCCTTTCCCTGAGAAGAAAAAAATACACATACACATCAATTTATAAAACTGATCTTTAATCAACTAAGCCTTTCAGTTGTTAACTCTGTCTACCAAATATTAGGGAACAGCACAGTTTATTCGGTAAAGAACTGTAATTATCAATGGAAGAAAAATAACATTTAACACTCCCTCATATTTTGCAGTTTCTATAAGATTAATTATTACTCATAGACGTTTCCCATCTTATTTAGTAAATGAAGAATATAGATCTATTGCAAAAGCAATATATGGACTAATCATTCGTCATTATTAAATTAGATGGGGTGCGCATATGGTCTTACCTCTGAATGATGCTGCCAGCCAACATTACTTGTATTGCAATCCTATATCGGTACATACACCAATCCCAAATCGATATACCAATCTCAGTTCATTTTCATACAATAGTCGTATCTCAATTTGTGTGGTTTATTGGGACGTACAGTTAGAAAATACGATATCATGAGGCTATAACGCATAAATATGCAGCAAGTATACGCTAATTAAGACCGCAGAACATTAACTGGCAAAATTGGAAATAAACAGCTTAGGTCTTTTCCATCTGTTACAGTCAAAACATTTAATGATAGACGATGGAATGGGCGGGTACAATTCGGCACGGACGTCTGAGAAAACATTTTGAGAAAACTTTGATTGTAACAGATGGAAATGATGTAAGCTGCGTATTTCCAATTTTGCCAGTTAATGTTCCGCGGTCTTATCAAAGAAGTAACGGTTCGGAATATTTTCGAAAAAAGGTCAATGGTCAAAGTCAAATGGTCTGTAACTTGTTATTTTATAAATAATTTATATATAGCAGTTCACGTGTTAAATATGTCTGAGTTCAAATACTATATAATACATATCAATATGTACTATGAACTATTTTGAAAATCACTTTGATGGTCAAGTTGAAAGTCACAAGCTCAGTAACTCTGGTGTTTTCCAAAAATTTTATATTCCAGATAAGCATTACAAGAGCAAGATGTCAAAATTTAATGTCTGCCTCTAATACTTCAAAAGATATAATGTTCTGCTTAATTTTCAAGCGACACGAAAACCTCTTTTAAAAACTCCTTGAATTACCTTGTATTTACGAGAATTTTTTTTATGTACTATATTTTTGACAAACCTTTAACGTAATTGTGTTATATGGATACAGTCGACGGAACTTCAGATGACTTAGACATTCCAATTAAACTGTGTTTCCAAGACCATGCCTTCACAAAGCGTCACAATTTGTCATCCATAAATTCCATCAACTGGGCGCGGATCATGGTCCAGACTGTTCACTACATATACGCCTACCTACAGGTCTGTAGTATGCTTTGTACTGTAAGACTATATAGATACATGTAGATTATTTTGTAATATATTTTCGATATTTAACTTAATACTCCATTGTGAGGCTAAAAACACCAGATCTTGAACATTTGAAGAAAAAATATAATTGGCTTGCCCGATATATTTTTTGAAATTAGATATTTTTTTCTACGGAAAACGATTGCAGATGCCAACATTAATACGACTAAGTTTTTTTTGGTTTAAGTATGAGTCAACACAGATTTAACAACGATATTGGATGGTCATGTCCAATAACGTGGCTATACATTTATACACTCTTGACCTATTTATAAATGTATTTTTCCTTAATATATATTCAGATGTGTCCTTCCTGTGATGACGTTGTACAAATAGTTGTTCCTACAGGTGCCTGTGGGAACGTCACATGTGAGTTGAATTCGCCTTCATTATCAAATTGGTACCAGCAACAGTAAACTTTACTTCCATTTAACAGTTAAATAAACACTTCATTATACACATAGTGACTGTCATTTTTTCATTTCATATACTCTCATGACCTTTCCTTCAGACGTCAGAGTGTATATCGCTAAGAGAAGTTCTAGGACAATCTGATCACGCGACTGATCGCAACTGCCAGAAATGTACACATTTACCTAATAAACAATGCAGAAAAAAAAATTAATATTACCCTGGAATTAAAAAAAAATCAGTTAAAGATATCTTTTAAAGTGCTACCAAAATGGTCTATGTTTTCAAAGGAGAGGGAGGTTGAAATTAAATAATACGTATAACTGCATTCTTTCTTCTATGTAATTAATTTATATTGAACATAACCCACTTTTTCATCCAATCAGGAATCGCTTACTATTCTATTAACTGATGCACTCAATCATTAAGAATTTTCTATGTTCCCAGTGACGTCAAATTTTCACTTTACAGCTTTGATAAACAAAGACGAAAGAAAGAAAAATAATATTGGCGCAGAACTATGGATCAGCTAATGAAAAAAGTGGGTTATGTTCTAAGTAAGTTAGATCATATTAAGTAAAAATTTAGCGATTAAGAAGGGACTCGGTTCCTTCGCTCTCTCCGCCCTTTCTTAATCACTGAAATTCTACTTATTATGATCTAACTATTATATATAGCTTTTGTTTATAATAGCTGGAATTATTGCAAGAAAGATGGGAGTGCCATTAGAGTTTGTTTGCGCAGTAACACAAAATGACGTAGTTGCACGGACGGTCAAAACAGGAGATTACAGAATTGCTGATCACGTGATCCCAACATTAGCTCCTGCTATGGATATACAGGTGAAATGATCTTCAAAATGTACTTGATATTTTTCAAAACAAATTTAAAAGAAAATAATAATAGGAAGAAAAAGAAAAGAAAACAAAGAAAGAGAAGGAAGAAAAGAATTTTAATTCAAAAAGGTCAATGCGTTGGTATTGTGGCCCTTGTATGTTTTTTAAAAGTACATGCAGTCGATTTGATGAGTGAAATGATTAGATATTGAAGCTAGCTGGCTTATGAACATCCATACGACCAATAGCTTTTTTTTTAAAAATAGATCCCGTATAATATGGAGAGGATATGGTATGTGGTGTCTGGTGGAGATTGTGCATCGATAAAGAAACTAATGAAAGAGTTTGAAGAGACCGGAAGTGTCACGGTTCCTGAAGAAATTTCCGATGCTGTACGAAAGGTTATAGTGGACACATTTGTTGCATCCGACGACGTTGTCCGCAAGACGATGAAAAGTACCTGGGATACTTATGAGTACCTGCTGTGTCCCCATACTGCTGTAGGAGTAGGATATCACTATTACCAAATGCAAAGGTATTCATGTTTCATAAAGTCAGTTGCAGCCATACAGTAAAGAAAATGTTTAAAATATTAAACGTGGCTTTTGCTTTATGTCAGAAAGCATAATTTTCAAAAAAATTGTTCACAAAATCCTATTTGAATCATAAACAACATTAATTAAAAAATATTATCTCAGTTCTCTCCTTGTCAAACAGAAATCCAGAGGATAAGAAAATCCGTGTTGTGATAGCAACAGCCTCTGTCATCAAGTTCGAAGAGGCGCTTCAATCAGCATCCATTCCATATACACGTGATCCACGAGTTGCGCAGCTTTTCGAAAGTAAACAAAAATACAAAGACTTGAATAAAGGTGAAGACTGGCTGCAGATGTTACGGGATAAAATAGAGGAAATAGACAAAAACAGAGTATAGAAATAATGAATTGTTAGAAGTAAATCTATGCTGTCAATTTTATGTGTAAAATTTAAACACTATTAAACACTATATGTTAATTTACATGTATATACTCAGGTATACCGTGACCATGGAGATAGTATACATCCAGCTAGAAAGCACCCGCAATATATTCGAAACAGGTTGATGATTACCGACACGTGATGACCTTGGCTTCACTTTGAAACTTTAATTATTAAAGTGTCAAAATTAAATAATTATGACAAAGTTCAAATACAGGTACCTATGTAATGAAAAAATATATGTACGTTTTCGTATTAAGGTATCTTTGCAAGTTCAATTTACTAATGTTGGAATTGCGTGTACTTCTCATGCACAAGTACAAAACGTACCCGCCTAATATTTTTTTTTATATCCATATAAAGTATTTCGAAAATTACATGTAGTACATGTAAGAGGTTCGTGAACATGTAAACCTGTATAATTATATATATCGACGCGAAGGAAAGTGATAAGCATTTCTGCGGTTTTTTTACTGACTTGCAAGTAGTTACAAAAATTCAAAAACATAGAATGTAAGGTCTACATGTAGGATAATAAGAATTGACAAAATAAACTTTCCCTATATACATGTATTTAAATCAAGCTATTTATTAAATTTTGGTAAAAGATTAATTAAAAAAAAATATATCATAGTAGTTAAAAAAATGAGATTTTTTTCTCCAAATTACGTATTGACATAATGCACATTTATACTGTACAATGTACATTTAATTTTTTTTTTCATGATCAATTATTTAGATCTATAATTTCGATGTTGATCTGGATAAATTGAAACGTGCATGTAAATTGAAATAATAAATAAAAAAATAATTAAATTAAAGCACGTACATGTTCTTATACTGTATCTTGAGATAATAAAATTCTATAATTTATCGAAGACCAGTTTTTTTTATTCTTTTTTTTTTTTTTTAGTAACAATTGTTATAACCATTATTATCTTCTTTTTTCTATTATGAATTAAAGTACTTATTGTCTGATAAATTTACGCAATGAATATTTGAAATTAATGGATTTTAAAAATATAAAGAAAATAAATATGTAACTATACATGTAACATGCTACCTGGATAATAAAAATATATAATGTATTAATAGATTTTAAAAATAAAAAGTAATGAAAATAGATGTGTAAATATTGCATGTTGTCTGGAGAATTAAAATATATAAATGTAAAATCATGTTTAAAAATCATATTAATAATATTTTTATATTGTACATACACACGCTTTGCTTGTACAATGTTTAGATTACAAACTGGCATGTTGACTGGTCGATGCGCTGATGGTCAACGCATTTTATCACTTATCCTGATTGACAGACCTGTTCGGCATGTTGATTGGTCGACGCGCTGATGAGTTAATCGCTTATCCTGATTGACAGCTCTGTTACGCAACACGGAACGCGCGTTCGCTTTCTGGGACCGCTACTGAATTTTGGGTTCGCTTTCAGCGTTCGCTCTGGGTCCGCTCTGGGTTCGCTGCGGGTTCGCTACGGGTGCGCTCCGGGTTCGCTCGGGGTCAGCACTAGCGGACCCCAAGCGAATCCGAAGCGAACCCAGAGAGCGAACCCGGGGTGCGCTCTGGGTCCGCTTTCTGTTAGGTTGTGTCTGGTCGGTACTGTATGACATACCAAAGCAACATAAACTATTAATCGAAGAAAATGTGTGAAACATGCAATGATAGCTTTAATAAGTGTTGACAGCCATTAAATTATTTGAATGAATGATAATAAAAGGGTAACTAAAAATTATTCATAAAAATATAAATTAAGGCATCTGGCGTACGACTTAAGGAGATCGTCCAACTATAAAACAATTTACGAAACCAAAGGTGTTAGTTGATGCATTCCGCAGAGGAAAAGAGTAAGATTACTATAATTGATAATCAATTTCTACTGAAAATGTTCACAAATAAAATTGCGTCAATAATTTAGTTAAAAAGCATTCATCTCATAATGGGTCGTCATTCTAACAAATAAAGAAAGTGGGGAGTAAATTATTTTGATATATAGTTGCTGCAAATGAATTTCAAAACATGATCAGACATTTTTTTTTAGTTTTTATAAATTATTGTTAAAGTGTATATCAAGAGAATGTATTTTCTTGTTAAATAAGTTGACTGGAACGTCCTAAATCGATTTAAGACTGGCATAAAATCTCAGCTGAAAGAGAAATGACATTATACAGCGTAATATATGCTCTCTCTGATTAAATGTAATACTGTAGAATCCATACAAATGAGTGCAAAAGTCATTTATTCAAGAAATGTGCATGAATTAAAGTTTGTTATTTCCTCTTATTAATTTTACTCATATGGGCCTCTCAAAGAAAAGGATAATGCATCTGTCCAATCTGCAATAGGTTAAACATTATAACTATGTAAGATAATACACTGAGTAACCAAAAGCACTGCAACGAACATGGCTGACGTCATCACGTTGTAATATGGAATGCATGAGAAAAAACGATTTCTATAAAATAAAAGTTATTTACTTACAATATTCCTTTAGTATTTTGTTGCATAGCCTTTTTGGATGATAACCTGTCGTAGTCTGGAAGGAATTGACGCATACAGTCTGCGAATGTACGTCTGGGAAATTCTTATATAAATGACTGCAGCCACCAAGTCATTCTTGTATTGAATGTTGTCAATCTCATGAAATAGTTTGATTTTGATATAAACGCCATATATTTTCGATTATATTAAGGTCTGGGAACTGAGCAGGCCAACTAAATTTTTGAATACCGTTTTCTTGTTTCCAGTTTAAGCACTGGTCTGTCTGGATGCGTGTGCCACTGGTGTTGCGATTTCCAAACACTGCCAATAACTGGCCATAAGTGAAATATCTAGCAATTCTTTATACTTCATCGAATTTAGATTTCTATCAACTGGCACAATAACACCAATACCATCGTAGGTAATACAACCCCAAAACATACACTCAGCTTACTTTCATGGGTGTTTTCCATTTCAATTGAGGCAGTATAGGGCTTCCATTTTTCGAATGATTTTCTCCATAAACTCACAGAATTTTTTTGTCCACGAACTACGTATACAGGTATACTTGTGTTTCGCCTGAGAATATAACTTTTTTGCCACTGTTCAGAATGTTCAGCACCACAGTATTCTCCGTTGTCGGTTAGTTTTACATATTGTCAGATTTTTTTGATTTTTTTTTATTTTCTTTATTTTTTTATTTTTAGCTCACCTCGACGAAGTCGAGATGAGCTAATGCTATACCCCGGCGTCGGCGTCGGTGTCGGTGTCGGCGTCGGCGTTAGCGTCGGCGTCCCAGGTTAAAGTTTTAGGAGCAAGTCCCATTCCCAAGTAACTATAAGCCCTACCTGGACGAAACTTGCATGGATGATGCATCTAGGGATGGACACTACCACACTTGCTTCGGATGCTGGATCTGACCTAGATTTTCCAGATGAGTAACCAGGTTAAAGTTTTAGGAGCAGATCCTTTCCTAAGTAACTATAAGCCCTACCTGGATCAAACTTGCATGGATGATGCATCTAGGGATGGACACTACCACACTTGCTTCGGATGCTGGATCTGACCTAAATTTTCCGGATGAGTGACCAGGTTAAAGTTTTAGGAGCAGGTCCATTCCCAAGTAACTATAAGCTCTACCTGGACCAAACTTGCATGGATGATGCATCTAGGGATGGACATGGCCACACTTACTTCGGATGCTGGATCTGACCTAGATTTTCCGGATGAGTGACCAGGTTAAAGTTTTAGGAGCAGGTCCATTCCCAAGTAACTATAAGCTCTACCTGGACCAAACTTGCATGGATGATGCATCTAGGGATGGACACTACCACACTTGCCTCGGATGCTGGATCTGACCTAGATTTTCCAGAAGGGTGACCAGGTTAAAGTTTTAGGAGCAGGTCCATTCCCAAGTAACTATAAGCCCTACCTGGACCAAACTTGCATGGATGATGCATCTAGGGATGAACACTACCACACTTTCTTCGGATGCTGGATCTGACCTAGATTTTCCGGATGAGTGACCAGGTTAAAGTTTTAGGAGCAGGTCCATTCCCAAGTAACTATAAGCCCTACCTGGACCAAACTTTCATGGATGATGCATCTAGGGATGGACATGGCCACACTTACTTCGGATGCTGGATCTGACCCAGATTTTTCGGATGAGTGACCAGGTTAAAGTTTTAGGAGCAGGTCCATTCCCAAGTAACTATAAGCCCTACCTGGACCAAACTTGCATGGATGATGCATCTAGGGATGGACACTACCACACTTGCTTCGGATGCTGGATCTGACCTAGATTTTCCAAATGAGTGACCAAGTTAAAGTTCTAGGAGCAGGTCCATTCCCAAGTAACTATAAGCCCTACCCGGACGAAACTTGCATGGATGATGCATCCATTGATGGACACTACCACACTTGCTTCGGATGCTGGATCTGACCTAGATTTTCCACATGTGAGACCAGGTTTAGATTTAGGAATAGTCTCGTTCCCAAGTAACTATAAGCCCTACCTGGACCAAACTTTCATGGATGATGCATCTAGGGATGTACACTAACCAACCTGCTTCGAATGCTGGATCTGACCTAGATTTTCCACATGAGTGAATTTTAGCCATATTTTAACCAAATTAGCATGGATGATGTATCTAGGGATGGACACTTCCAGACTTGCCTTGGATTCTGAATCTGACGTACATTTTCCAGATGAGTGACCAGGGTAATTTTTTTGGAGTAGCTATACAATATTATGGCCTGTTATGATTAAACTTGCATATATGGTGCATCTAAGGATGAAAACTTCCAGACTTGCTTTGGATGTTGGAACTGACCAAAATTTTCTTGATTACTAAACAGGTCAAAAGTTTTTTGAGCAGGTCTATAATCAAATCAAACTTGCATGGATATTGATCTTGGGATGTACCCTAACTAGAAAAAAATATGATGTGAAATTTGCCTTACATGTAGATAACATTCGTCGAGGTGAGCT